TCAAGTGGATCCCATTCTTCTCCACAAATGTTTGGGCCATCCTTCTCCTCAAGTTTTGTCTTCTATTATCTCTGTTCCCAGTAGTTCCAAACTTAAATTATTACAGTCTTGTGAAATTTGTTTCCAATCTAAACAAACTCGTAGTAGTTATCCTCTCAGTTCAAATATAGCCACTAGTGTTTTTTATTTAATTCATTGTAATTTGTGGGGACCCTACACCCCTTGTTTGGCTACTGGCGCTCATTACTTTCTTACTATTGTGGATGATCATTCTCGAGCTATTTGGGCTTATTTGATTATTGACAAATCTACATTAACTAGTTGCCTGAAACATTTTTTACTATGATACAAACCCAGTGCCATAAAACCATTAAAGTTCGCTCAGACAATGGAACTGAGTTTGTCAATCGTCATCTCCGTGGTTAATATTTGTCCCTGGATGTTCTTGTTCAAACTTCTTGTGTCGGTACCCCCAACAAAATGGTCAAGTAGAATGTAAGTATTGATATATTTTAAATGTTGCCCGATCTTTAATGTTTCAAGCTAGTTTGCCTATTGAATTTTGGGGAGAATGCGTTCGTACTGTTGTTTACCTAATTAATCGTACCCCAACAAACTTTCCGAGGTTCTCAATAATAAAGCACCCGATCTCAGCCACCTGCAAATTTTTGGGTGTCTCTGTTTTGTTCGTCTTCCAACCTCGAATAAATTCTTTCCTCGTAGCACCAAATATATGTTCGTCGGGTACCCCACTGGTACTAAAGGCTGGCATGTATATGATCTTGACACTCATCATTTTTTCACACTCGGGACATCTCATTAGATGAGAGTCAATTCCCGTTCGCCACAAATACAGAGTCAACCCAACCCCCAAACTCCCTCCTCTTGGCCGATTTTCCCGATATTCCCGACATATATAGACCTGCTTCTAACTCGTTGGTTCCCACTACTCCGGTAGTCCAGCCCGACAAACAGGTCGTCCAGCTGGTCGCGGCCGATCAGGCAGTCTAGCCCGCCAGCGACCATCATATCGATACAGATGTCGTGCCCCCTTCGTGTCCTCAGCAGCAACACCGTCAACCCTCTCATCTTAGTGATTATATCGTCAATTCTGTTCAATCCAATGCTTCGTTATGCGCCTCTATTCCATACCCCTTGGTTCCCATGACATTGGGAATCAATATCATGGGATGACCCGGGGATGCTCCGATGTCCCATTCGTAAAATTAACGACTTCTACCCTCCTAACCTCCTGGTAAACCCCCACCCCACTCCCACCCTCTTCAATTGCATCCGCCAAGTTAATTTTGACTTTGGAGTCAAATCCAAAGTCAAAATTAACTTGGCGAATGCAATTGAAGGGGGTGGGGGGGCGTGTTCGGGTTGGAGTGGGGTGGGGGGTTTACCGGGGGTTAGGAGAGGTAGAAACCGTCAATTTTACGAACGAAATACCGGAGCATCCCGGGTCATCCCATGACATTGATTTCCAAATTTCATTGTCATGGTAACCGGCCCCCACTCCGTAATAGTATTAAAAGTCTAGTTTGCTCCAAAATTTTCATAATTATCAAGGTATTGTTGATTCTGGGCGTGTTTGAGAATAACGTTAGCGATTAGCGTTTCGAAAAGACTATCTACGGACAACGTTTAGCGTTAGCATTTTTATAGTAATCTGCACCGTTAAAATTTTATCCAAAATGCTAATGTTAATCTTTAACGCTATTCCCAAACAGACCCTCTCTTGCTCAACACGTATCCCTAAAATTGTGGAAACAATAATCCTTTGAATAATCTTTGCTAAAAACTAATTCTGAAATGGTATGCTTGTTGAATTTTCAATAGACTATTTGGTCACTTTTATTAAGAATTGAGGATATACATGCACACATTATGATAATCATTGGGTATTTATTAGAGTATATTCTATATGATCCATTATAATAGAGTAAACTAGTATCACATCCGTGCGTTGCACGAGTCATTTTTATGTTATTAAATTCAAATCATTTTTCAATGATAAAAAATGGGATGCAATAGAATATAGAGATTAGATTATTTTAAGGTACAAAACATCACTGCTTTACAAATTTTGAAAGACTTCTTTATAGACTACACTATTTGTACAATTTGTGGGAATATTGTCTTCATTGCATATCAAAATCTTCAACCCACTACGATTAGTTACTCTTGAAACTGCAACATAGAGTTGTCCATGATTAAAACATGTTGGATTATTGTTACGGAAATATGTGATACACCCTAACTGCTCATAGCTTCATCATTAATTGCTCGTAGCTTCATCATGAGTTTAATAGCTATGAAAGCTTTGTAAATGGATGTATTTATAATATGATTTTTGCATACAGGGTTAAAAGAATTATTCATTTTTCAAAGTGCCATAACAAATTTAAATTACTATTACTATATTTAAATTATTTAATTTATTATATTTAATAAAGGGTCCCAATAACAGGTCGTTTTACATATTTGGTCCCTACATATCAAATATTACTAATTTAGTCCCCAATTATTTTATCATTTTTCACGAATGGTCCTTTGTTAACGTTTTTGTTAAGAACATGGATAAAATTGTATATTCTTACTTCTCTCTCCTCAATTAAGTTTCCTCCCTCCTTTCGTACTCTTTCCCAAACTCGTCGCTAAGTTTGAAGCTCTAAATCCAAAACTGAAATGATCATCCCTATCTCAATTTTTAGTCTTTCTCGTTAAACCTAAAATCAAAACCAATAAGCTTTATGGATGAGTTTTATTGGTTAGTCTCAAGAAATTGTAAAGAAATAAACATTAAAACTCATCCATGAAGGTTACTGGTTTTGAATTTGGGTTCCACCAGTTAGACAAACAATTGAGAGAAGAGTGATGATTTTGGTTTTGGGTTCAAAGCTTCAAACTCAGCGACGGTTTTGGAAAAGGAATACGAGGGGAGGGAGAAAGCTTAATTAAGGAAAGAAAAGGGTGTGAATTTTAAATTTTATCTACGTTATTAACGGAAATGTTAACAAAGGACCATTCGTGGAAATGAATACTACCTCCGTCCCAAAAAGATTTACACATTTTGACTAAAGTTGAAATTAAAGGAGAGATAATTTTGTGTTGACTTTCCAAAAATACCCTTGATGTGATGGGTAAAAAGTAGGATGTGATGTGTAGATTATTAGAAAAAAGGTATGATGTGATAGGTAGGGTTTGAAAAAGTAAGGGGTAAAAGTGGTTTTTTAATAGAAATGAGTAGGAGATTGTGGGACACAATTTTTTTGAAAGGTGTAAATCTTTTTGGGACGGAGGGAGTATAATAGTTGGGGACTAAATTAGTAATATTTGATATGTAAGGACTAAATATGTAAAACGACTTATAACTGTGGACCTTTTATGGAACTTACCCATTATAATATGTTATCTTCAATATTTAGTCACTAATTTCATGATATTTTATATTACATTTATTATCCTCAATTTTTGAAAATTACTCCGTACTTAGTTTTTTAGGCCAAATATGACCAAATATTTTTTCCATATACAGTCCCAAAGAATTGATTATGAAATATTTTTAAAAATTGAGGACTACGAATGTAATATCTTAGAATTGAGAACTAAATATGAAAAATCATCTACTATAAAAGATGATTTATTAAATTTACTCTATTTAGGGCCGGAAAAAAGAGCTGGATAATAGAAGAAACTGAAAGAATCTAGAAGAAACTAGAAGAATTTGGAACGAACTGGAAAAAACTGAAAAAACTGGGAGGAAATAGAACTAGAAAAAATGGAAAATCTTAAAAAACTTTTTAAAATTTATTTAAGTTTATTTTTTATATTATTGTCATTCTAATTGTTGTTGTTGTAATTTATTATTATTATATTCATAATCATGTTACCTTAATCAATGTCATTAAGATAAAATAAATATATTGTCATTTATCATATACAAAAATCTACTTTTGCAAAAAAATTATCTAATTAAAATATAAAGTTTGCATAAATATTACAATGTTAAATTTTAAAAAGTTATTGTGGTTATATTTCACCTCAGTTTATTTATGCAGTATTTATTACTTCCTCAGTCCCTAAAAGATGTTTCTGTTTCATTTTTTGCGCATCCTATAAAAAACTTCTACCCACATCTAAATTGCCTAAAATTTACCAAATTTCTCCTTTATTATAAGTAGAAGTTGTTTTGAAAGTATTTTTGGCAATTAAGGTTAGATAGAAGTGTTTTATGGAATGCACAAAAAATGAAACAGAAACATCTTTTAGGGACAGAGGGAGTATAAAATAATATATTTGTAATTATATTTTATATATTACAAGATTTTATTTTAAATATGAGACATGTCACATAATGTGATCAAATCTATTTTTTCTTTTATGATTGACATTGTAATTCTCATTTTAGAAATAAAAGCATAAAACTCATATTTTGCTATTTTTATGTTTTATTTCTAGTTTACTCTTTTTCTCTAAAATAATTTAACTTCAAAAAATTTTTACAAAAATTTGAAAAATGTTTTCCTCGTATCAATTTAAAAGAGTGTCAATCGTAAAATTAGTGACATAAAAAAATATAAAAATGAGATAAGTTATAAAGTGTAGATATGAATATAACAATAATAATAATAACTATAATGAAGATAATACTAATAATTATTATTATTATTATATAATGATAATAATCACATTAAAAATACATCATTTTTAAAATAATTGTTTGGGAGTAAAAAGAGTTAGAAGAAAATGAAAATAACTAGAAAAAACTGGAAAAAACTGAAAAGAACGGGAAGAAACAAAAAAGAACTAGAAGCAACAAGAACTGAAAGGAAACGAAAGAAATTGAAAGTTAAGAGTTTAAACTCTAAAAACCAGACTCTTATTACATCAACCATATACTCCCATAATTACTCCCTCCATCCCATTTGGATTAAGCACCCAGATTAGAAAAGTGAAAACCGTGTGGTTGAGATTTATGCGTAGTTAGATTATAAGAACATCAACAGCATAACGCTTAGTACAGATAATAAAAATTTAGACCTACGGGAGAGAGCACGTGAAAATTTAGACTATTAGTAATCCGAACTACAAATGTACACGCATTACCAGAGAGCGTTCAACGGCGAAAAACAGAAAACATGGTCCACCACTTAATGGTGGTTTTAAGCACGGGAAATCTTTTATACTTGCAATAGAGAATTAGAACTGGGGAAGTAGTGATTGCAGATTTCTGTCTCTAGTCATAGAGACCCCCAATAAGCAAAATAATAATAATTATAATAATAATAATAACTCCGTAATAATTACCACGAATCAAGAGCTTGGTTTTCCATTCTTTCCCTTGATGAGATCTTCACGTTTGCTTTCTTGGATGATATCTTCAAGTTTATCAATAATTGCATCGTAGCAGAAAAGATATTGTTCCTGAAAGTCGACCCGGTCATCACACTTCCTATTGTTTTTGCTCGAAAAATGCTCCACTACATTCATAAAACAGAGCCCTCCCCCTCCCCCAAACCCCCCAACCCTCCATATATTGTGATGCTAAATAATTTGAATTGGCTTAAACTCATATCATGTTCTAACTTTCTTCTACCTAAATTCCCTATGGTGTTTTTGACATGCTCCCACTGCTGAGTTCACTTAAAAGTTAAAACCAAATAGAATGAGGGTATATTTTTGAAATTGCAAGGTTTTTCTGTACACTAAAAAAGATTTCTTCCAGCAAGTATAGATGGAAACTTAGGGCATGTTCTCTTCAACTGATCTGATTAAAATAAGTTATGATCTGATCTGAATGTAGTTTTATTTAAAATTGTCTCTGATCTGATCTAGTCTGATCTGATTCCAATAAGAATAAGTAATAAGTAAAAAAAAGTTGCGGAGAACATGGCCTTAAGCTATAATATATACCAGGCTGAATATTGAAAGGAAAACATCTCAAATGAAAGACATACAAGTATACATACCAATGTTTGAACCATCCCAATTCGCTGTGCCCTGAAAGTGGTGATGGTATTTACAAGATCTAAAGCAGACATATCCCCGAGTAGGACTTTTTGGACTGTGTTGTGAATTGTGCAATAGGTCCCAGTTCTACCAATACCTGCACTGTGAAAGAAAATGTGTGTGAAACTCTCCATTAGGGTAATTAATGGAGCTCCAGAGCTAAAAAGACAGATTTACGTGGAAAGCTGAAATGAGGCAAAACCTGCAGTGCACCACAATTGGCCCAAGACTAGGTGGCACAGAAATTAAGTACTTAAGAATCTCGCGGACAACGATGGAGTCCTTTGGTACTCCATGATCAGGCCATGAAGGATACTGGAAGTGTAAGACATACAAAGGTGGTTCTTCTGACTGCATCAAATGAGAGAAAATGTAAGACACAATTACACTCATCAATATAAACTTCAAAGCCGGTTATTGATATGTGATGGAAAATTAGATGCGGAAACAAAAAGGATCAGCCAAAGCATACAACAATGATGACCCACTAAAGTCCCAGAAGTGAGGTTTGAAACATTTTGGGATATTCCCAACCACCCAAGATCTCTCCCACAGTTTTAAGGATTTACCTAACCACCAGATATATGGTGGTTAAGGAATGGTTCTATCATAAACCCCGGGCGTCCCTTTTTATTTGTTCATTCATTATTCGTAGGGTGAAACTATATTTTCCTTGCATATTTTCTTTAATTATTTGTTACAAGAGAAAAAAACCAAGCCACCTCTTGTTTTATAGAGCTTTTGATAGAGTTTTCAAGTGCTCCCTTCGTCCCAGAGCAAACGAGCAGAATTTAAATTATCAATTACATTTATATTTGCATAGCATATTAATACAATGAAATAAATTTTTGAAAGTTCTCCACAAGATAAGTCTAATGAAATCATTTTTGTACTAATATGCAATACAATTTTTATTTGATTGATGGTCAAAGCTTGTCTAGTTTGACTCAAAAAGTCACACTCTGGACAAATACTCTGAGACATAGGTAGCATATAATTTCTTTTTTATTTTACACCAATATGTAAATAAATTGAATTGAAAAAAACTTTGGTCAAGCATCGTCCACTGAAATGGGACAAATAAAACAAAAAAGAGTAATATGCTATAAATATTCCTCTGGAGTAGATGAAAGGGGATAATCTTCTGCATCCCTAACCTCCGCCATATATAAATAAGGCTCTCACCTGTTGGCATCAATTAAATGGCTATACTGGAAGCCTTCATTTCGGATAGAAAAGTGATCCTTGTATTTTAGGTACTAGGAACGATGTTAGAATCATCAATTTACAATCCCCCGCACCCTGTTCTCGCAAAGGCCCCTCGTTCCCCTACCAATCTTACATTTAAAAGCATTGGGCGATTGTGGTAGTTTATCACTCAAGTATTTTCGGACCCTGCCTCAGTAGTCAAATAGTTTCTGACTTATAGTTTAACAGCGTAATGATGGATTTTTTTGTTCATGATTTCTTACCTCTTTGTATCTAGCCTTCAAGCAACGCAATATTAAAGAAGTGTCTGTAGTTTTCATCCATTCTGTGGTGATGCATATATCCCCAAATTCTCTAGTGCCATCCTCTGCCTGAAAATAATCTCCACACTTCATCTGCATCCAGTTTCACCATAAAGAGCTCCACATAAGAAAGGAAAATCATTTACAAGAAAGTAAAACAATAAAGTTGTGATATGCTTTTCCATGAATATAGTTTTTTTTTGGGGGGAGGGGGATTTTTAATGACATATAGAAACACATGTTGATTAAAACATCAAAATTGCACAAACTATATGCTGTTATTGAAGTACTATTGTACTTGACACATCAAGAAGTAATACATTCATACAGACTAAAATGAAACTAACCATGTTTGGTGAACGAAGCAGGGTTGATATGATATAGGTTCTGAAATCTAGAAGAAATTATATGCATTCTCAAATCTGAAATAAGTGTTTAGGGAGATCTGAAATGGTATGGAGTCGCAATCACTGCTATTTGGTGGGCAGTTATGAAATCAAATGTAGTGTTCAACACTATTTTAGCATAAATATAGTGTTACTTAAGAATAAGTGCATTAAAAAGTTATATTAAAACTTCTACTTAGGTGGGTTGTAGGGGATGACAGTGATGGTAAGTGGCCAACAATGGTGGGTGGAAGCGAGGGTGATGGTGGGCACCACATAGTGGTGGTGACCAGCAGTGGCAGTTGTTTGTCGGTGGTGGTGGTGGTGGTTATTGGTGACAGCGGGTGGCTGTCGACAATGATAGTGGTGGTGGATGACGGAAGAGGTGGTGGCGTGTGGCCGCTAGTGGCAACGGCAGATATGGGAGTCGATGGCAATGGTGGGTGGGTGGCAATGGTGATTGTTGGCTAGTGGCGCCTGCGGCGGTAGTGGTGGATGGTAGCATTGGTGATCCAACAACAGTGTAGGGAGATATTAAAACACCTCGAATTGATATCTCTCTAATTCGGGAGATATCAAAAGTCAAAACACTCCCATTTGGAAGGGTTGTGATAACGGGAGATATCAAATTCTAACTCTCATTAAATTTCACCAAACACTCACAAAATGGGCTCTGACATCAAGAGATATCCATATCTCCAGCGCCCAAAGAAGACGCCCTTAGTTGTCACTACTCACTAGAGTGATTTATGAAGTTTGTTAGTAAATAGTTGTGATTGTCTAGCTAATTAAGAGGTGATCCTTTAGAGTAATTAAAAGGTGAAGATTTATGAGGTAGGTAAAATGAGATCATGTATTACAAAACTTGTTTGGATTATATGAGGTAATTGAAATTAGATAATTGTAAAATGTTGTTGATAATGCTACAACAAGATCGGTAATAACAACCTTTTGCATAAATACCCTCAAAATTACAAAAGATAACAAAAACAGAATAAAAAAACTAAATTCGAAAGTCGCAATTGGTCTTCTTTGTTCCGTTAATGCGTCACAAGTTAGGGTGAGAAAGATCTCTCTACTTTTACCCTTGCTCAAAACCTTCTCCGGCGGTTGGGGTCACGGACGCTCTTCTCTTGGGCAGCAGATCCTCTACTTTTTCTTCTGATCGTTTGCTGATGTCATGAGAATGCGAAAGATGAACTGAGCATTTTGGTCTTCAGCAAACAAGACTACGAGAGCGAACTCAGCGACGTACCGCACTTCTGATTTCGCCAATTAGGTGAAAATCCTACCTCTACTGTTTCAAGCAATCCTAACCACAATTTACCCCTCTTTATTTCCTCCCAAAGAAGGTAATGCCAGGTAGGATCCATTGCCTATCTTACCTAACCTCCTTCCAAACAATATGCTAGTTATCATCCACTGGGACATCCGATACGAAGTCCAAAAAGTTGCAGAAGTAAAAATGACAAGTTATTTAGTAGAAGAAAGTTTTTCCTTTTCTAGTGGAACTAATGAGTCCATTTAAATTATTTATAGGTTAAGTTACTTATGTGAATATGTCAAATACACATTCCAATATCCAGATCAGTACCTTGTAATTGTCGACAAGACCTGTAAGCATTACAATTGCAGGACAACGATTCTGGATTACCATTTCCCAGAAATCCTCAAAGGTGTGTGGCAATGGACCTTGCGTTGCAATAAAGGGAGATAATTGTTCAGAAACCTACCAAGAGAAGCAACAAAATGTTCAGGTAAGCATAGATGTTACTAATTCATTGAGACTTGAGAGTGATATTTTTTAAAACAGCAATAAGGATAGAAAAAGGGTTACCCTGATCCAGCTCGCATTGATGTAGCCCCTTGCTGATGGTCTGTAGTCTTTACACGGATTCAAAATAACCCTATTACTGTCAACTGAAAATGAAACATTACTATATTTATTTCAAAAGCATAAAAGCAGATCAGATAGTTGAAAAAAACAGATAACTAATGGATTACCATACATGGCAACACATCAGTATACCGGTTTTTGCTTCTGTTTACACAATCCTGAGATACTAAACATAGCTTCTCCATTTCTCTAGCGGTCATTCTATTGGCCTGTATCAAGTCATAACCAATTAGACAAAAACTTGTATAAGACCATCCAACATGACCCAATCTGGAAAAAAATTTGTAAGGTGGGTCAGATTGTTGAACAACGAACATATGACTTTTAGTGCAAACTATAGCATTAATCACTTATTGTGTAAAATATGTCATTTTACTTCTGGTATGAAAGCCATCACTTTTAGCGTAAAAGCTATCAATTTAACCCTACAGATATTTTACACGGATCTGTCACATAGATTGAGATTTATGAGAGTAATGAGACAGTCTCATCCAAGGCATAGGCATATTAAAGGCATTTCCAATATTGTACAAAAAAGAGAAACTTTTAAAAGAAAAAGAAGAAGATTTATTGAAACCCCAACTTTTTGTTACTCCATTGGACTTCAATTACAAATCATCTTACTATAATTGAAAACAGTTTTTTCCTTCAGTTCTTCCGTATGACTCGATCTAAAAATAGTGTATCTTCTCCAACTCCCCTATAGATCATAGTATAAAACTTTTTGTCAATGTAAATGATTTAAGCATTGATTTGGACAGTCCATTTATTCATTTATATCGATACTATCTAGCAAACTTCCTTTCATGGAAAAAAATTTGTTTTGCATTAAATTTGAAAAATCTATGAGTCCCTTTATATCGGTTCTATCTAGTACACTTCCTTTCATGGAAAATAAAATAACCCCAAATATTTGGATCGTAACATATGCACATTGGTTGACATTTAACTTCTTATGAGCTTCAAAAAAGAATACCCACCCCCCACCCCTTTTTTAAATCCTAATTGAGTGTAAGCATCACAATCCATCCCACAAAACTGAGAGAGATTAATGGTGTAAGAAGGTAACTTAAAATGTTTTATGTGTGAGCAGATGTTTCTGCCATCTCCCACTTAAAACGTATAGAAGCAGTAAATAAAAACTCATTTCCTTGCCAATTTTTCCCATAGACTAAAAGTATTGTTAGCTACGGAGTAATGTTTATTGCAGTTCACCTCATACTTAAATAGTTCATGTGTAAAACTAAAAAGGGATCACCTCTAAGGTTCCAATTCCTGTCAGATGCATACTCATTCTGATTACTTTAAATTACATTATTAAATTATTCTCCAAACAATGTAAGTGTTTCCATACTGCTATGCATTGGCTCAAGTATGGTTATGCACTTATGCTATGTTGTGGCTAGTACCGCAACAATGTAATGCTCAAGCATGGTTATGCACTTATTGTTTTTCCCTTCTCCAATGAGTCCGCTCCTTTGGAGAACAAATCACAGAATCACAAACAAAATAATGAAATTGAAGAGCAGGACATGGTATAGAAAATGAAAGGCTCGACATGTTTAAAAAGGGTAATATGAAGGAGACCTGTAAGGTTCCGAATTCCTGGTGGATTTTTTCGGGAGCTTGAAACTTCTTCGCTTTGAATACCTTCAGCGCCTCCGAGCAGTAACGAATCTGATCTGACGATAGGGCGAGCCTTGGCGGCGACCAGTCACTGGAGAAATCGAAAGGATTGCAATGGATCGGAGCAGCCAGAGTGGAAGATGCAGAGGGGCCGGAAGTCGTTGGAGGGGGCTTTCCGGCTGCGGCCATCGCCGATCCCTGGTTGCGAATCCGAGTTGAAATGGCGCTACCCGTCTTTGAGAGCCTGAAAAAAATAGTGAGCGTTGTTGAGGGCGACACCCACTCGCACGAACACCACCAACTCTGAAGTGCTAACTACGGTGGAATGTACTAACGTCAACTCAGAGGAGAATTGATCCTAGGAGGATAATGCTACTCTCCCACCAGTGCCACCACATATGCCCTCACTCTCACTAGTATAAAGGACGTCTTTCTCCGTGTTGTATTTATTGTTTTATTATTAATAAATACTTCCTCCGTCCTAAAATTAACCTCTCAGTTTCACTTTTGTAGTTAAATTTTTTAAACTTTGACTGTATATTACAGAAAAAATACATTGAATTTTAATATAAATTTATTAGCAATAGATTCATTTTGAAACATAGTTTTGAAATATATAATTTTTATAAAATATATTTATATAAAAATTGAGATATTGATGGTCAAAGTGTCGCATTGGAGACCGTGGAAAGTCAAATGGAAAGTTAATTTTAGGACAAAGGGAGTAGTTTTTATCTTATAAACTATTTATAAGTCAAATATTCTTTCATAGAAGTAAGATGACTTAAATGATAGCTGAGTCACTTAAAAATATTCATAATTGTGAGGGATAGTTTTATAAATAATCAGGTCAAAACGGAGAAACGAAAAAACTAACTTAAAAATAAGTAGCTAAAAATAAAGCTGACTTAAAAATAAAGTTTCAATTTTGTTGGCTTATAAGTGTAACACCCTAAATCCGTCCAAGTCTGCAGCCCCTTTCAGACTTAAGTATTAACTTGGTAACGTCAAAATTGAAAACATTTCAACAATTGAAACTTTATTTCATCATCATAAAATATTTAGAAACAGTAACAGAATGTATCAAATCGCGGAGCTTAATAAATAGTTTTACATTACAATCAATAATTCACTTTTGAAATAATTATTGAACAGTTCAAAACCATCTCACATCTGTAACGCCCTGCGACCCGGTCTATTAGAATTGATTAATCTAATTAATTAATTACTAACTCGGACCGGGGTTTGGAAAATAAATCCTTAGAAAAATTATTTGATTATGTCATAATATTCGTTTTGACTGTCTGATTCCAGAAACGTAAACGGATCTCAATTCGGACCCGTTCGGGGAAAATACCGCATACCGATCAGGTAAGATTTTATACAACGGAGTGAAATTTAGGGAGATAACTCCCATTCAAACCACACGCCACTACACTCCTCATTTTCCATAACCCCCCATCATTATTTTCTCCATTTATCTCTCATAAATCCCCATTACTCTTCTCTTTCAATTTAAACCCATTCCAATCCCTTTCCTTAGCATTTTGTAACTCCCAAGACATTCACACACCCTCTCCCTCTTCCCCTTGCATTTTCGGCCAGACCATAGTAGCTCAAGGAGGTGATTCGTGCGAATTGACGAGAAGGTTGAAGAGGAGAAGTTCACGCGAGAAGCTGTTTGTTCGTTCATCCGTTCGTTGTCCGTTTATTAGCCGTTCGTTCATCCGTTACCGTTATCGTAAATCTCTGCGTTTAGAGGTGAGTACGTTGCCCTCTAACTTTGGAATTCGTAGTATAATCATATCGTTATATTCATAGGATTATCGGCTAAACCTACGTGTATCCACATCGTCATGACTTTTCGTTTATTAGGCCTTTCGATTACACACTTGTTAGTATAAACGTTACAAAACGTTGCAAACTCATCAAAACTTAAGCTGGAAACATAAGCGTTCATTTCTAAAACTCTCAACGTCTTAATGAAAATCCAACAGGCAAAAATAGGAACCAGCGTGCCTTAATAATCGATTTACAGCATCTGACAATCGATTATTAGGTCGCGCTGAACTTCTCAGTTTTTTTAGCAAGACGTGATAATCGATTATCACCTTGCTGATAATCGATTATTGGGTCCTGCGGAATCTCAAGTCTGGGCTGGTTCTTTTGATAATCGATTATCACATAGCTAAAATCGATTATCAGGCCCCTCTGGACTTGGGTGTCCTGAGCAAATACTTTGACAATCGATTATCATGGCTTGCGGAACTTGGGAACAGGAACAGCGTAACATGATAATCGATTATCAGATGTGGTTAATCGATTATCAGCCAGCTCTGAACCCAGGTCCGCCATGTTGAACAAGTATTTTATATATGGAATCAAATATATTTGCATGTGTTGAATATAACCTCACTCTCCAACCGAAGCATTCATACCATCATGTATATCCTAGACGCATGTTTAGGACCATGGCATACGTTGCATACCACGGCAAGGGGTCAGGCTCAGTGCGCCTCTTCCGTGGGCCTGTCCAGGAACCTGCGGGATCCAACGGGTTTTCATCACGAGGGCTTGTGTACGTACATGGTAGCCAGGCTTAGCTATCACCCACATTCTAGTCTCCATTGGGGTGACAAAGGCGTTCCTCGGCTCATCTACCGCGTGGGGATGATCACCGAAGGGCAGGGGGTCCCTGCGCAGTCTAACTCATGCATCATGTTTATTTGACATGACATCATTGTTATTTGTAACTCTTATCCGTTAAACTTGTACGTGGTATTCCGTACTTAGTTCAGGTACGATCATGACTATATCAATGTGAATGTGCTATGCGTTCTACTGTTAGATTACCACTCAGCTTTTGCTGAGCGTATAGCGTTGTTTTCCCTTTGCTATACGCAGGTAGGCAAGAGAACCATGGAGCCTGACCCGGATGACTGGGTGATAGGAGCTGCGGATGAACGACAGTGCGGACCAGATGAATTACTTATTTAATTTATGAAAACTTTTTGGGCATAAATCCACCTTTTGTCGCATTTACGTTATTTATGACCTAACAGTTTTACTTACATTTACTTCCGCTATAAACTTCTTTTAAGTGAATCCATCCTCATCATTTAATAAAGCATGTCAAGGGTTTTCCGTTATAAGCCACGCAAGGGGTTTTTCCTTGTAGACGACCTTAAACCGTCTACGTAACCTCTCCGGCACGTTGGACCGCGGTGAACCGGGTTCGCGGGACGGAGGGTGTTATAACATCCATCTGACATCTCGTGTCCCCATCTGCCGTTAGGATCCATAACATCATTCTTTATTTTATTTACCTGCGTGTAGCAAATTAAACATACTAAACGCTCAGGATTGAAGCTGGGTAAGGATATCTAATGCATCGAAGATCCACATAAACTGAATCTCAATTCATAATCAAATCATTTGATATCATGCACATAATATTCATTTCAATTATTCAATATTCATAATGTCAACAGTGCTCTTAAACTATTCTTAGGTTAAGGCCAAATCATAACAATGCTCTTAAACTATTCTTAGTCTAAGACCAAATCATAACAATGCTCTTAAAATATTCTTAGTCTAAGGCTAATTTATTTTGATAACCGGGCTCTTAAACTATATTTTAATTTAAGACAAAACACAAAAATCGATGATTATCCTATGAGTCTAATAGGTCACACTGAAAATCGAGCAACAGACTGCTCACCGTCGGGTTGGGTGGTACCCCCAAACAAGTACGTACTCAAGTTTGGTTTGTGGATCTCGTACATACGTTTTAACCCTAGCAAGCGGACATCATACACACAAAGCCTAACTAAACTGGTCACATAGGGTCTATCTTAGCGTTCTTCTCGATAACCTTATTTGTTCACAATCATAATTTCAATCAGGAAATTTATTTTTAGTCAAGGTTCAACCATCATAATCAATAATAATCATCATAATATTTAATAACAAACAGTAGCCTAGCATCGAATGTTAACACTCAAGCTTAGCATCATGCATCAAATAAGTTTCTTGAATATATCAAAACATCATTTTTAATTTGGAATTGACTTTCATACTGATCTATAGTTAGATAGTAGCGAAATAGGATTTTCCGGGTTTCATTTCCGAACACAAAATTTTTTTGGGCAGTACAGAATACGTTGTGAAGGTAGCTTGCTACTGTCCAGCAGTACCCTGCCCCGACGATGCCATGCTACGTCTGGCGGTATCACCCTATTGTCCGGCGGTAGCTTCCTACCACGTACTGGTTCGAGTTTTGAACAATATTTCATCTTCAACCTCGGTTCAAAGTTTTTCAAAAGACCATTTAAAGTTACCAAACTTCATTCTAACTATATAAAAATATTCTCTAACACCCATAGACCATTTTTAAATAATTAATTTAGAGTTTTAATAATAATTTGAAGGTTTGTAATTCTTGGTTCATCAAAACATATTTTTCATTTTTAAAGCACATAACTCAACCAAATGATTGTTTATAAACGTAAAATCGATATATATATGAACATTCTAATCACTACATATATCTAAGGTCTTATTTCGAGCTCAAATGAAGAATTTGGAAATTTTCTGGCAAAATTTCCGTTGACAACTGCAGCTCCCTCTGGTGATTCCGGCGGTGACAAACTATATCAGCTTGTTCTCCACACACTCAGGATCACAATGATAGTAAATTTACTGAGTTTGGTGGTGAGATGAAGGAAAGCGTTGAGCAGCTTATATAGGGAGATGGTTGAGGATGAAGCCAAGGGTGACGTGCTAAAATCCGTAAAATCGGCGGTAGTGGACCGAGCAGCGATTCTGTGGATTTACACGACTCTTCTCTAACTGGGACTAAAATAGGCCCAATTGGGGTACATTTTTTTGTCTAACTTTCTCCAAATTAAAATCTGATTGCAATGTTGCGATGAAGTAGTCAAACTCTACACAACGGTATAATTTTTAAAATCAATTGACAAACTTTATACATCACTTATTTTTGGATCCATCTCAGTAATTAATTAATTATTAATTAATTTAGGTTTGATAGGCCTATTTTCAGGGCGTTACAATAAGCATCTTATCAATCAGCTTATAAGCACACATAAATATATCATCAACTGACTTATAAGTTAAAAACTTCTTATAAGTAGTTTTGACCGAGCTATAAGCCCTGAGAAACACTCACAAAGTACTCCCTCCGTCCCACTATTTTTGTTCATTATTTCTTTTTGGGACGTCCCACTATTTTTGTTCACTTTCCTTTTTTGGAAAAGTTTTAAGTGTTCAATTGTCCCATTTTCTCTTAGTTCTCTCACACGTAATATAATTACTCTCACGTCACACCACTATACCCTGCCAACTTATTCCAACAACAATGTAGCGAAAAAATGCTAC